CGGCCCTCGCCTTTGCCCCGACGGCGTCTCCGGGCGCCGCGACTCGGCCTCCGCGCGGCTCCGGTGGAGAAGCCGCGGGCGCTCGGGCTGCGGACGGACGGACGGACGGACGGACGGACACCTCGCCACCGACAAGGGTAGCGGGCGGAGGGTGGTCACCCGTCCCAAGCCCCGTTGCTGACGTGCGGGACAGAAATGAGAGCCCGGGATTGACCTGCGGGGCATCCACCGGCCGGAGGAGCATCAGCCCATGGGTCTGTCCATCCATCCCCCCTCCATGTGTCCATCCATCCATCTGTCCTTCCCTGCTCCATCCGTCCGTCCCGCCTGTTGTGTGACGGGAGGTGCGCTGCTATAGCTGAGACCTGCCTGGAAATCTTGAGAAAGAGCTCGAGAGCAAGCTTGCTCCGAGCTCCAGAGGACAGGAGGAGTGGATGTGGCCTGTGGGATTTGATTTGAACTAGGAGGCACCGTGGCAGGAGGAAAAGAGGCCCATGGGTCTTAATCCCACCTCTAAACAGACTGCAGGATTTGGGTCAAGTTTCTTCTCAGATCTGAGTTTGTTTCCTTGTTTACGAAATAATGATGATTCGTATTTACTATGGACCAGACACCACTCTAAGTACGCACTTTGCATGTTTGTGCATTTAAACGTCATCAGGGACTAAATGAGATACTACTATTATCATCCTCAGTTTATCACTGAGGAAAGGAAGGCCCAGAGAGGTTGCCAGTCTTGATTCTGCCCATGAAGCTAGCGGGTAGCAGAGTTAGGATCTAACTTTGGAGTCTGCTCACGACCAAATGCTGTACCTGAAACTCCACGCTGTTGAGAGTGGGTCTGGAAGTGGTCTCTTCATTCTTGTCCTGCTTTATCTCTGTCCTGGGTTGCTTTAAGATGCATTCTGAGACTCCTGCAGTTGAAGAGCTTCCAAGGGTCACAGTGCCAGGGTTTCCCAAACTGAGCTGTGTCTGAGAATCACTGCGTGTGTGCTTGGGGGTGTGTTTGACCACTGGCATCTACTCAGAATCTTCAGGGCATGCTCAGTTCCCCCCATACTCCGGTAGCATTTGGGTACTGTTAGAATGGCCCCAGTAGCAGAAAGCTCACCGCCTCTCATCCCATTGCTGGACAGAGCTAATTCTCAGCTGTCCTTCGTCTAGGGCCCAGGCCCCCTTCCCCTTCTCTAAGCTGTCCTATGGAAGACAGTTTTGAGAGAACCATGGCAGGTGCTGGGCATCCAGTAGGGCCATGAGCACCCTGGGGAGATCACGTGGCTCTAGATTCCCATTGCTCTGTGCTTTCCTTCGCCTGAATAGAGCAGGGTCGTCCTAGTGGAGAGGATACAACTGGGCTGGGTCTCCGATGTTTTCCTAACCCTTGTGTCCTGAGAAAGGAATCAAGTCAGGAACACTGTTACGGTTTAGAAAGAGGAATCAGCGATATTGTATCTGACGAGAGGAAGGCATGTGTTTTCCTTGTGGGAACTGGGCTGGGGCATTTGTTGGCTCCAGCAGAGAGAAATATTTGTGAGTGTCATCTCATTCTCTTACAGAAACAGTGCGCTTTGGCCTTCCTTCCCCAGAAGAGGAAGTCTTCTTTGTTTTAAAATAATGTGTGGGTTGGAAAAAACAAAACAAATAGGATATCTTGATCTTTCTAGGGAAAATTTTCCCTCCAAGCAAGCTTATTTGAAGCTAGGCAGAGGTTCTTTTCCAATAGCTGTGTCCTTGATTTCACAGCCCAACTTCTCTCCTCTTTCTAGTCCAGCTGCTTCCTCAGCATTTACTCCAGGTTCTGTTGGATTTGTACCCTTGAAAGGCAGCACAGCCCAAATAATGGTTGAATACACTTTCATTCAAGCACTACAGAAGTAGATGCAGTGAAATATGGGCTTGCAGCAATCACCCCAAAGACCACACTTGTGGGTGAAGGTTAGCTTTGGTTAGTATCTTTCTAAGATGTTTTTGTCTTGTCTAAAGATATGCAGAATATGTACCTGCACATAAGTTTCTAAGTATGTTTATGTATACTTACTATACAGTTTCCTTTTTCACTTTCCAAGTCCTACAGATCTTTCCAGATTGCTACTGGCCTCCTTTGTTAATGGCCCCATGTTACTCTACAGTAGAAACAGAATAAAATTTACCCCTCTTTCCTTCATTCATGGACATGTCAATTCTTTAAACTTATTCAGCACTAGCAATAATACTTTGGCAAGACCATGCTTTCATCTTTAGCACAAGTGTATTTCTGTGGACTGGAATCCCAGGGGAGCTATTGTTAGGTCACAAGGTTGGCCTGTATTTCTACTTGATACGCACAGTCCTTCGAATTGTAGCTCTTCCTCCATTGTACTACTTTACATTCAGTACAGGATGACTTGTTACCCCCACCCTTCTAACCTCTGCTGCTTGTTTTTTAATTTCCACAGCTAGAAAATGAGTGAAAACCAATACATTATATTAATATGCATTTTGTGATTACTGCTGAAATTTTACATCTCTATATTTATGTTCTATGAATTATCTATTTATGTCTTTTATGCATTTTTCTCTTGAGTTTTTCTTATTCTTATTTATTGCAGAAGGTTTGTACCTATCTGGATCTTAATCTATTGTTTCTTATAAATGATGCAAATATTTCTTCGAGCATACTTCTTTCTTTTCCAAATATTTTTATTGTGCTAAAATATATATAGCATTTACCATTAATTGTGTTTGTGTGGGTTTTTTTTTTTTTTTTTTTGTATTTTTGGTATTTTTGAGACAAGGTGTCTCACTATGTAGTTCATAGGTTTTGAACTCACTCTGTAACCCAGGCTGGCCTCAAACTCATAGTGATCCTCCTACCTCAGCTTTCTGAGTACTGGGATTACACCATACCCAGCTTACCATTTTTAACTATACAGTTCATTGCTAGTAAGCATATTCATATTATTGTGCAACAGTCAATGCTGCCCATCTCTGGAACTTTTTTATATTGCAAAACTGAAGCTCTGTTCTCATTAAATAGTAACTCCTCATCTCCCTCTTCCCTCATCCTCTGTCAGCTACCATTCTAATTTCTGTCTTTTGAATGTGACTGACCCAGGCACCTCATATAAGTGAACTCATACAGGATTTGTCTTTTTGTCACTATTTCACGTAGTGTACTATTCTTAAGGTTCATCCATGTTTTAGCTCATATCAGAATTTCTTTCACTTTTTAAGACTGAATAATATTCCATTGTCTGTGTATGCCACATTTTGCTTATTCATTAATAATGCTTTTGCCTTTAACATAAAAGTTTTAAGTATTTGTATATCACAATAATCTCACCATTTAAAGTTTTAGACAGCTTATCCAATACTGTTTATTTACCTTTTAAAAATTCATTTGAAATCAGTTTGTATCATAAAATAAATTCCCCTTTTTATAAGGACTTTTTCAGGTCTCTGTTGTGTTTTATTTATCATCTATGTCATTATAAGCTTGCTAAACAATAGCACTTTAAGGGTATGTTTTGTGTCTAGTAATATATATTTACAACTTCAAAAATTTTTAGAAATGTCTCTCACACAAATTCTTTTTTATATCAACCTTACAGCTAATCTGTCAAGTATAATAAAATCCTGTTGAAATTTTTCTGAGTTTGTAATTTTTAACAATTTTTCCTGTTTAGTTAATTGATTTATTTATATTTGTAGTGCTGGGGAGTGAACCCAAGACCTTGCTCATGCTAGGCAAGTGCTCTACCACACCTATACCCCAGCCCTTACTGTCCATTTTAGTCTGTGCTCTATACTGTATGCCTCATATAGTAAAGGGTTGGGCTCAGGTGAATGGCTTACCTGGGAGGCCAAGCAGTTTGCCTCTGAGAGGGTAGTGTGTGAAGCTGTGAGAGTGAAGCTGAAGGCTCAGTAGAGATCCAGGAAACTGTAGATGCCAGGAATGTGGAACATCTGCCAAGGAAAGCTTTAAGCAGTGAGCAGAGCCAACCTAAAAGGGAGGCCACTTGGGCTACAACCAGCAAGACCATGAAGTAGGGCTGCACAAGACCTTTGGAGCTCATATCTTACTGTAATTTACCCTGGGTGCTGGACATGCAGCTACAAGATTTAATGTTTTCCCTGTTGGATTTTGCTGTTGTTTTGGTCCAGTTCATTTTTGTCCCATTGTTCCTCCCTTATGGAAATGGCAAGGCTTATCTTGTGTCATTGTATGTTGCAACTATTTAACTTCCATGTTTTTATTTTTACGGGGGCTCACAGCTAAGAGTTTGCCTTGAGTCTCAGAGGAGACTTTGGATTTAGATTTTGCAGGAATGCTGAAACTGTTAAGACTTAGGCTACTCTTAGAGATAAACTAAATATATTTGGACATGAGTCTTTTGGGGCCATGGGTGGTATATTATGGTTTGTATCTAAAATGTTCTCCAAAAGTCTAAACCAACTTTAGACTGTGTGTGTGGATGGTGATTGGATTGTGGGGTATTGTATTCATCAGTGGTTCATCATGCATTGATGAGTTTGGTAATGGAATGTGCTGTTAGGATATGGAAGCTTATTGAAGGTGGTCACTGGTGACATGACCTGGGAGGGTATATTCTTGTCCCTAGGTTCTGTCTTCTCTGTCTGTTTACCATAGCCTGAGCAGTTTTTCTCCATCGTCATGTTTCTGCCTCAGTGCTAACTGACCAGGGACTGAATCCTCTGAAAACTATAAGCCAAATTAAATTTCTTGTCCTTTTAGTTGTGGGAGTCAGGTATTTTGTCCCAGTAATGGGACAGCTAGTGCATAGATAGATAGATAGATAGGTAGATGATAGATCCTCTTTGTATGATGAAATTCTAGCAATAGAATTATAGAATTATTTTTAGATCAAAGCAAACACACACTAAAATGTTAATAAATATAGCAAATAAACCTGGACAAAGTTGGCCTCTTTGATTACTAGTGAATGGCAGTGCTTATCTCTGCAAGCTCTTATCCATGAGAGGTATAACTGCCATATCAAGCCTTGCCAATTGGATACTATGTACACACTCACAAACATACAGGTGTAAACAATTACTGTTTTAACTTGGATTCCTTTTAAAGTGATCTTGCCTAGATTTTTGTTTGTCTTTTTTGGGGTGTGTCTTTTTTGGGGTGAAATATACACATACTTGTGGTTTTCTACAGAATTGTTCATCTTTCTTATTTCTAAGATTTTTTTTGTAATTAGGGATAGTAGCTGTTTGCCTTATATAGCAATGCTGTCATTTCCAG